CCAAAGATAAACATGCAGCTTGGTTGAAGCGTCATTTCATCAGCAGAGAAGGATAAAGACCTGGAGCAAGAGAAGGAGCAAAAATGAAAAGACATTTCAGTGCAGAAGAGGCTTTAGAAATGGCAACGAAGCTTTTAATCTGCCAGTGAGCTGCAGGACTCACCTGAAGAAGACGGGGAGGGGAGTCTGACACACTTTCAGAAGAAGGGTCACAGGCACTAACACACACTCTCTGTCTCTGTCACTCCCCCACCTACCCCACCCCCACCCAGTTTAAAAAATGTGGTTTCAATGGGTCATTTTTGGCCACGAGGTTGTCAGGAGGGTACAAAATGCATAAAAAGAGTATAAATGACATTTAAGAATGAATGATACTGGATTTCAAAAATATTACTAAAAAGAAACTTTCATGCCACAAGCTGTAACACAGCCAAAATGATCGCCAAATCAAAAAAAGAAATTGACAAAAACTGACATTTTTGCCAGAGGAGGGTGGAAGGGTTAATTTAACAAGGCTGTATGCTCTTATTGGCTACTATCTGTGACTTCATCCTGTCCTCTTTGCTGGACACACACCTGCTCTGCTGCAGAGGAGCTGCTGGTCTCAGCCTCCAAGTCCACAAGGAATTCAACTCATTTTCATACACAGAGCTCATTAGGTGTTGCCGTTAAATACATAAAGTTAGCATTTGTTTTTTACCCATTAACTACAGTTCATTACAATCAGCATACTGAGTACCAAAGTGGTTTTAGCGAACTGAACGGTACCAAGCATTTTGACCATGGGGAGAGTGAAGACGTTGCATTTTTGCAAATTTGTTGTTTTGTTTCTTCAACAGGTGTTTTTGATTAATTGCTCTCTCGTTTACTGTTGTTATTTCACATATCCAGTGTTGACACCTGTAAATGTGACTTCATGCCTGTGTGTCTGTGTCAGACAGGGACTGAGGGGCGCTCAAGCACACAACAGAGATGCTGAGCTTGCAGTCGGCTTTACTTTTGTTGTCATTACCCTGTCTTAAAATATCCACAAACGGCTGAAAATTCTTCTCTGCTGCCTAATGACCAGCTCAGCCAGCATGAGGTTAATGTAATAATGTTATGGTTTGGTATTTTACGAGTAAAAGCAGCGTACTAGAGGGTGGTATCAGACCCGATACCTGATATCGGTATCAGTGTATCCCTACTAGATTTTATCCCAGCTAACCATGAGCAGTTTGAGCTGACCGGTAGCTGCCTGAGCTGTTCCATAGAGCAGGCTGTTAGCAGATTTAAATGGTAAATGTGAGAGCAGTTCATTGTGACAGGTGTCTTGACAAGAGGAGTACAGTGTTTATTAACCTGCCACTCATCATGTTTCAACTCTCCCCTTGTGGAACAAAGCTCAACCCACCTATCACCATTGTGGTTTCTACCTAAATGCGCCCATGTGGGTGGGTTGTCCACATATGGAAATAAGCTATTTCGATTTCATGCCGTCTATATGCATGCCCACCTGTTTGCTTGTCTGTGACTAGATCTCAGTTTCCTTATCCATGTTTCCTTCACTTGTACCTTCTTTTGTGTCTGTCTTTCCTACTTAGGGTGCAACGAAAAATCCAAGGATAGGAAGTTAAGTGGTAGAGTAAGATCACTGGAACGGCCTTTTTGATAGTGGACTGGAATGATTTCTTGGTCTGCAAGGCTAGAGCAGTGAGGATTGATCAAATAAGTGATAATGGGATAAAAAGAATAAGAGATTAGAAAGTGAGATAAAAAGTGACTGGGTTGATGCCTTTCTTTTTATTCATTCATTAATTCAGCCAAAAAACCTTAATGTATGCATGGTCATTTAGAAAACCAGGCTGTTGGGTCTACACAGCTGTTTGCGTCAACAGTCTCTGGACTTGTTAGAAGTGGAATGTGCAAGCAAGTTAGACTAGCAGTCAGTCAGACAACAAGCCTGCCAATCAGTTAGCTTAGCCAGTCAGTCACAAAAACAAGCCTGAAAGCTGATTAGCCAGTAATCCATCTTGACTGTGTGACATCTAGTCAAGCAGATTAAGCAATCACTAGAATTACACCAAGAAGAACTGCACTTAATCCCTTCCCAAATGACAAATCACAGCAGTCAAACGGTGCTGTCATGTTTACTCCATGCTCCGTGGCACCATGCTTAGATGCTGGAAAGAATGACTGGTTATTGTAACAATTTTTTGACATGTTGCATTTGATCAGATCAGGAGTGTCCTCCTCACCACAGGGAAATGTCACTGTTGTTTCATACAGCCAGCAAATTTCCTTCAAAGAAAGGATTTAGTTTTTGCATGTTTTTTGGTTTAAAAGTGGATCCCATTTGAATGTTTATTTACCATGATGTTTAACACTTGTAGGATATTATATGTGTTACTTTTGGTTGGTATTAATGAGGTCATCAATTCTGTTTGTACAAGTTGGATTCATTTTACAGCAGTGTCAAGCTACTGCTGCTGAGTGCAGAGTAAACTGCAGTAGCTTGACCCCTGTGACTGCCTGTGATGACACAAACAACTCATCTGTTCTGTTATCATCATATCCTGGCTGTTGATACCAAAACAAAATCATTAAGTATTTCACAGCCTTATGAAACCACTGCCATTGCTCCATCTATGGAAATTAAATCAATAAATGAGGTCAGCAGATCTGCTGCTGTCACCTGTTTGCTAGGAGTGAGAGGATGTGGTTGTCATGGCCTAACAGGGTTACTGGTTCCAGCTTCCTCTGTAGGATGAAGGGGAGAGTTACAGTTAGAGCCTCAGTAGCATTAAAGGTTAGAGGTTGCATTGTGCTAGTGCTGCACAGTTATGACAAAAATCATAATCACGATTTTAGGCAATATTAAGATGATGGTTATTTAACACAGTTACTCATTGACTTTGAAAATATCATGCATTTATTGAACTTTAAAATTAAGTCTTTTAACAGTGGGTTTTCTTTAATTTTAAATATGATTCAACTGAAAAACAAATATTCCCCAATTGGGATTTAGAGTTCATCTTACAAACTTAATGAACTGACCACCTCTCTGCAAGTTTATGCTTGTTAAACAGTGTTTCGATAGATTACTCTTATTGACTTTTTACTTGCGTAGGTTTTATTGAATCTATAGTAACAAACTCATTGTCACCTCGAGTAATGTAGTTCACCTCACCCGATACAAGCAAAAAATGCTCACACTATAGAGCACTGAAGAGGTGTGCTTGATTTATAACACAAGATGAGAGCATCATTGCAAGGCTAATGTGGTACAATAATAATTTTATCTCGATTGTTTTGTGTTCATAATCATTGGAAGCCAAAATCATAATTGAAAATAAAATTCCATAAATCCCCCAGCATGTGCTATGTTATCAAGTCAAGTCAAAGTGTTTGTTGTCATATGCACGGTATAGTTGTTTATGGCAACCTGTTTTAATTTTAGTGTGAAGCTGTCATTTTAGTTTTTATTAGTTTTAGTCACTTTCATACTCTTTTTAGTCTAGTCAAGTTTCAGTCAACTAAACGTCTGAGTATTTTAGTCTTATTTTAGTCAGAATTATCCATGACTATTTTCATCTAGTTTTAGTAGTAATGGTGATGAAAATTGTATTTTAGTCTCTCGTTAGTAATGCAGTTCTATTTGTCCTAGTCAATATAGTATAAGTACCTAGTAGTAGTGTAGACAAAACCAAAATTTTCTTTTAGCCAAACCCATTTCAAACAAGGTTATGTTATTATATTATTGTTACCTTATAGACTCAAGAATATTTCCAATACACATTTTGTGGCTGCATTTCTCCCCATCTTTTTCCACAACACTCTTTTTTTCTTTTCCACTTCTATGTAATGAAAGTTTTTCCAAATGTCGTTTCTTCTTTTTCTCCCAATGACGAACCCCGGCTGGCCGCCCATTGGTCCCTTTCGCTGTGTCAGACTTAACTTTGTTTGTTGTCTTCTAAATAATGCTGCGAGTGGGGCTTAAGGAAGTGACAGGGCCTGCATCTGTGCAGTGCGACCTGATGCAGCCCCTGAAGCGAGACACGGGAAACAGAAATATTGCAAAATAATAATAACGCTACTGAACGAGACGAAATAATGTTATAACATTTGGTTTCGTCTCATTTTGGTCAACGAAAATGAAGACATTTTAGCATAGTTTTTTATTTTGTAAACCACATTTAGTCTTGTTTTTTTTCATCAACAATATTGCATTATACATTTAATTATAGTCATCATCACACGACCAGCAATTTTGTTGAGTCTCATCTCGTTTTCGTCACGTGATAAAGGTTCGTTGACAACAATTTTTAGTCATAATTTTCGTTGACGAAAGCAACCCTAAGGCACAGTATGGAAACGCGTTTTCCTGTACAATGAAATTCTTACTTTGCTGTCCACATGAATGCCACACAATATAAATTAAATATAAAGTAGATAAATAAGTAACACAAAATCTAAGGCCCTTTAAAGCAGCAAATGAAGAGATGTAATAAAAATATATAAGAATATAATAAGAGAATGTATGTTCCATGGGAGCAGCATGTGCAGTAGTCAACAGTAAATATGCAATTATGCACGTGCAAACCGAGAATGTAAACAGTACAGGTCGTCAGTACGTCATTACATGACGTATTTCCTGGTAATAAACTCCTCAGCTGTTTAGGAGTCTGATGGCAGAGGGAAAGAAACAGTTTTTCAGTCTGGAGGTCCTACATTTCACACTTCTGAACCTCCGGCCAGAGGGTAGGGAGGCGAACAGTCCATGCTGGGGGTGGGTTGGGTCCTTGAGGATGGAGGCAGCTTTCCGATGCACCCTGCAGTGGGAAATGCTCTGCAGACCACTGGAAAGAATTTTTGAGACCCAAAGGAAATTAAAATGCCAACTTTAGATTAGGGTGCACTGGAAGTTTGCAGTGCTCATAGTGCAAACTTCAAGAAAGAAAAGATGTTTTCCACATAGCTACTGTACTGTACACCAATAGTCTGTCTGTTGTGTTCCTTAGGGTTGCCGTCCACCATGTTAAGGTAAGGCCCAGGTGCGCGGTGTTGACCATGCTAAAGCGCCTGGACAAGATCCGTTTTCGAGGCCCCAGGACAAGAGACGACTTCCCGGATCTGGCCGAGTCGCCACCCGCCTCTGACAATGAATGTAGCGACGACATGCAGCTGAAACCCAAGGTGGCTCTGCGAGACACTGACGACCTCATGCGAGACCCTGTGAGTGCTCACCATGCATTTAGATGTCTGTGTGTGTTTGGGCTGGGCTTTGACCTTATGGCCACATTTGGAATGGCTCATGTTTCAGGGAAGAGACAGAAAATTCCATTTCCTCTATTTTTTCTTTTTCAGTCTTTTTCTCTTTCATTTTCTGTTTTATGTCCTACTTTCCCCCCTAAATTCTGTCAGACCCCCACCTTATATCACTCTGTCTGCATCAGCCTTACAGGGTAAATGGTTATATATCTTTCTTTACAGTTAGACATGCAGTCATTGCCAAAAATATTGGCATCTCTGCATTTCTGTCAGATAATGCACCACTTCTCTCAGAAAATTGTTGCAGTCATAAATTCTTTGGTATTCTGGTTTAATACTTGTGTAGGTTTTTAATGGTCTTATACTTAGTTGCTTTTCTATGCAGTGAAGCACAGTCAGAGCGCTTTTATAGACTATTTTCCATTCACCCATTTGCAAACACAAGCATTCTCACACTCGCACTGATGGCACAGCCACCAGGAGCAACTTGGGGTTCAGTGTCTTGCCCAAGGACAGTTCAGCATGTGAACTGGAGAAGCCAGTATTCAAACCACCACACTTAGGAGACAACCCGCTATACCATTCTTTAGTTTGCCTTGGAAAAACACAAAAAATCTGAAAAATACATACAGCACACTCTTTGAGCAAAATTACTGAAATCAATTGCTTCCTCAGTGAGTTTCTTACACCTCTACTGGAATTTTGGACTATTCTTCTTTTGCCAACTGCTCCAGGTCTCAGATTTGAAGAGATCTTTCTCCCAACTGTTGTTTTGAGATCTCTCCTCAGGTGCTCTAGGGGATTTAGATCTTGACTCATTGATAGCCACTAAAGAATTCTCCAGCGCATTGTCTGAAAACATTTCTGTGTGCTTTTTGAAGTACGCTTTGGGTCACTGTCCTACACTTTCTGATACTGGGCCCTAGATTGCACCTCAGAATTTGTTGCTTTTCTTCAGATTTCATAATGCCATACAAGATAATCCAGTGCGTGAAGCAGCAAAGCAACCCCAAAACATCAGTGAGCCTCAGTGTTTGACTGTAGGGACCGTGTTCTTTTAGGGCATCTCTCTCTCTCTCTCTGTGTGTGTGTGTATGTATATACATATGTGTGTGTGTGTGTGTGTGTGTGTGTGTATATATATATATATTGAAGCCCTAACCTCAACAGCAAAACCTGTTCAATTCGTCTTCAGGACGAGAAAGAACACCTACCCTCCTGAAACCCAGTTACTTATACAATTTGAAATGTGCAATTGTAGGCTGGTCTGGTGGTCTCGGGTTGCTCCATTGGTCCATCTATCCATCCGTCCCCCTTCTGCATCCTTCCTGCTCCAATGGGAAAGGCAGCTTCCTATAGAGAGAGGAAATCCTACTCTGTCTAAAATTCCTACACTCACCTCTTTGTTTCCAACTAACTAACTACACTCTATAAAACATGGCTTTCCATTTGGCTACTAAACTATCTTGCCTGTGTGTCTGTATATGGCCCTGTCTTTTAAAGTTGTCTTTTCTCTTCCTGGCCTCAGATCTAATCTCTGTTTCTTACCCCTAGTGTCCCAGTGACCCCAAATTCCCTGGCCTCTTCAGCCAGGTGGTGATCATAAAACAACTGTGAACCCTCTTTGCTAAAGCTGTAAATCTAATGAGTTCTCAGTGTTTAGTGAATCAGTCTCCCTTGCTGTTAAACAGTCCCCAGTTGGCTAACACAGTAAATACTGACCAGTGATTCAATGCAGACTTAAGGTGATATGTAACTACATAAACATAAACACAACTGTGAGAGTAAAATATATAAACTTATGTATGCTCTAAACTAAATCCTAATTATTCATTTTCTTAATATGATAGAATAATCATATGCACACACAGTAAACAAACAAGTTAACTAATCAACAAACATAGTATCAATCTTCTACTAACTAAATTCTTAATTCAGTCTAATATTAAAACTAATCCTAATGTATTATTTTGTTAACAATTTTACTCAACAATATATACTGAGCAAAATTATAAGCAACACTTTTGTGTTTGCTCCTATTTTTCATGAGCTGAACTCATTGATTTATGACTTGTTCCATGTACACAAAAGACCTATTTCTCTCAAATATTGGTGAAAAATTTGTCTAAATCTGTGTTAGTGAGCACTTCTCCTTTGCCGAGATAATCCATCCACTTCACAGGTTTGGCATATCAAAATGCTGATTATACAGCATGATTATTGCACAGGTGTGCCTTAGGCTGGTGACAATAAAAGGCCATTCTAAAATGTTTTATCACATAGCACATTGCCACAAATGTCGCAAGTTTTGAGGGAGCGTGCAATTGGCATGCTGACTGAAGGAATGTCTACCAGAGCTGTTTCCCGTGAATTGAATGTTCATTTCTCTACCATAAGCCGTCTGTCTCCAAAGGTGTTTCAGAGAATTTGGCAGTACATCCAACCGGCCTCACAACCGCAGACCACTTGTAACCACACCGGCCCAGGACCTCCACATCCGGCATCTTCACCTCCAAGATCGTCTGAGACCAGCCACCCGGACAGCTGCTGCAACAATTGGTTTGCATAACCAAAGAATTTCTGCACAAACTGTCAGAAACCGTCTCAGGGAAGCTCATCTGCATGCTTGTTGTCCTCATTGGGGTCTCGACCTGACTGCAGTTCGTCATCGTAACTGACTTGAGCGGGCAATGCTCCCATTCAATGGCATCTGGCACTTTGGAGAGGTGTTCTGTTCACGGATGAATCCCAGTTTTCACTGTACAGGGCAGGTGGCAGACGGCGTGTATGGCGTCGTGTGGGTGAGCAGTTTGCTGATGTCAATGTTGTGGATCGAGTGGCCCATGGTGGCGGTGGGGTTATGGTATGGGCAGGCGTATGTTATGGACAACGAATACGGGTGCATTTTATTGATAGCATTTTGAATGCACAGAGATATCGTGATGAGCCCATTGTTGTGCATTATCATCCACGACCATCACCTCACGTTGCAGCATGATAATGCACGGCCCCATCAGGAGTGGACCAACATTCCACAGGGCACAATCAGCAACCTGATCAGCTCTATGCGAAGGAGATGGGCCGCACTGCATAGGTAAATGGTGGTCACACCACATACTGACTGGTTTTCGCCACACACACACACACACACACACACACACACACACACACACACACATACTGGTTTTTATGGTATACTGGGTCATTTTGCTCCAAACCCGCCCGGTGGTGGTTTAGATGGACTACTGTTTCCTGAGGGCCTAGAGCTATGGGAGCAAGGTTCAAATGCTTCAAAAAAATCGGAAAAAATTTAGCTCACTTTAGAGTTCAGATACAACCTACAGAACCTCATACACACAACCCTGACCCTAGAGTGGTTTGTGAGGGCATGAAAAATAGGAGTAACACAAAAGTGTTGCATTTATAACTTTGTTCTGTGTGTGTGTGTGTGTGTGTGTGTGTGTGTGTGTGTGTGTGTATAAACTCAAATTTTATGTGTATAGCCCCAA